TGGCAACAACAGCCTGGCTTCCTTTCTCCTTTCTCTCAGTTTTCCTTCTTTGCCCTTTCTTTTTTTAGACAGAGTCTCACTCTGTCACCCAGGTGTAGTGGTACATTCTTGGCTCACTGCAACCTCTACCTCCCAGGTTCAAGCGATTCTCCTGCCTCAGCCTCCCAAGTACCTAGGATTACAGGCACCTGCCACCACACCTGGCTAATTTTTATATTTTTAGTAGACAGGGTTTCACCATATTGGCCAGGCTGGTCTTGAACTCCTGACCTCAGGTGATCCACCTGCCTTGGTGTCCCAAAGTGCTGGGATTTCAGGCGTGAGCGACCACGTCTGGCCCTTCTTTGCCCTTTCAACTCCTAGTCACTTTCTCAGAAGGAAGAAAAACATAGTAATAATTTGGATGCTTTTTCCAGAGCAGTCATTACCAGTTGTGGCCTCGTTACCTTCACTTGTTTTGTTTTGTTTTGTTTTGTGAAATGGAGTCTAGTTCTGTCGCTCAGGCTGGAGTGCCATGGCATGATCTCGGCTCACTACAACCGCTGCCTCCCAGGATCAAGCGATTCTTAGGCCTCAGGCTGCCGAGTAGCTGCGATTACAGGTATACGCCACCATGCCTAGCTAATTTTTGTATTTTTAGTAGAGACGGGATTTTGCCATGTTGGCCAGACTGGTCTTCAACTCCTGACCTCAAGTGATCTGCCCACCTTGGCCTTAAAAATTGCTAGTATTACAGGCGTGAGCCACCATGCCCAGCCACCTTCACTTGTTTTGATGCCTAGCTTCTCACAAATCAGAAGAAACACCAGTTTTATGACACCAGAGTTCCCAAAATTGCCTGGTTAAAAGGGAGGCAGATGCCAGTATTAGAGGAAGGACAGAGTCCAAAATTAGGACAGAGGAAATAATAGATGGACAGGAGAAAACAGAAAACCCCTCAAAGTGCACCAAAAAATACAAAAAACTTACCCGGATGTGGTGGCGGGTGCCTATAATTTCAGCAGGAGGTTCACTTGGACCCAGAAGGTGGAGGTTGCAGTGAGCCAAGATCGCGCCACTGCAGTCCAGACTGGACAACAGAGCGGGACTCTGTCTGAAAAAAAAAAAAAAAAAAACATTTTTAACTGTTTTAAGAAATCTGTTTTAAGGAGTCCTCCAGGTGATCCAGTTGCAAACTCAAGTTTGGAAACCCTGCCATAAATTCTTTTGTGTGTCTTAACTGATAAAATCCCACCTTTGGATAAACCCAGTGCTCGTCTTCCACCTTACTTACACCTTGGCAGCTAAGCTCTGCTGGAGAAAAGCACTCGACTGGGTATTAATTGGTATCATAAATTCAGTCACCAGCCTCAGCTGGGTTCTGCCCAGCAAACTTACCTTTCTCAAGATGCTTATTCTCTTACTCTCTTAGGGTGGCCAGATTTAGGAAAGACAAAAAAAAAAAAAAAGAAGAAGGATACCTAGTCAAATTTGAATTTCAGAGAAACATACTACTTACCATAAAAAATTATTTCATGTTAAACTGAAATTCATATTTGGCTGGCCATCCAGATTTGTCGTTGCTAAATCTGGCAACCCTCACTAAGAAAGATATGTAGTCCTCAGGGCAGGCCATTTGGAGGAGAGCTGGAGGTGACATGGGAGAAAACCAGCATGGACAACAGGGAGGGAATGCAAGCCCTGTCGGTCCTTGTGGCTCTGACCTTGACGGTGTGGATATCCTGCTGAAGCTGGGACCTTTTGTCGCAGAGCTAAACACATACACCTGGCCCAGAAGTCAGAGATGCTGGAGGAGAAGTCGGGGCAGCTGCAGGCCTGGCTTTGGCTCACACCAGTGAAGCAGGCCAGTAACTCAGTGACAAAGTGTGTGAGCTACACAATGACTGTTGCTTCACTTCTGCCCTCAAAATCTCCCACAAAAATCTCTCTGTGGACCATCCTAACTGGAAACATGTCGGGAAGGGAATTTGGGGAAATGTAGTTCAATCTAGGCAAGGTGACACATTATAATGTCATCATACCTATTACTCATTTTAAAAAGAGACTTGAGGTCGAGTACCAGGGACAAATGAATAATTTGCACAGAAGAAATAGTTACCCTTGGGCCGGGTGCAGTGGCTCACACCTGTAATCTTAGCACTTTGGGAGGCTGAGGTGGGTGGATCACGAGGTAAGGAGTTCGAGACCAGCCTGGCCAATGTTGTGAAACCTTGTCTGTACTAAAAAAAAATACAAAATTAGCCAGGCATGGTGTGCACCTGTAATCCCAGCTACTCAGGAGGCTGAGGCAGGAGAATCGCTTGAACCCGGGAGGCAGAGATTGCCCGTGAGTCAAGATCATGTCACTGCACTCCAGCCTGGGTGACAGAGCGGGACTCTGCCTTAAAAAAAAAGAAAGAAAAAAAGAAAGAAAAAAGACAAGACAAGAAAAGTGAAATAGCTACCCTTTGTTGAATGCATATACATTCAACACTTCTTATCTATAAAATACACTTTACATAAATTTTGCTTATATAGATGACCTCTATACAAACTATACAGTTTTGTATACAGGTATACAAAACTATACAATTTTAGTTGTAACAATGCTTCAATGCTGGTATTATTAATAGCATTTTATAGATGAAGAAACTAAGAAAGAAGTGGAAAAATTTGCCCATGAACATACAAGCAAGGGAAAGAGCTGTTATTTGTAGTCAGGTCTCTCCAAAGCCTATATTCCTAACCACTGTACACTGTGTTATCTGGACTCCCAACAAACTGTAGACTTCCATTTCATAAGCATTAAATCTGCAGTCTCCAGGCCACCTGGGAAACCTTCACACATTGCCACTCCTCTGTGATTTTCACCTGACACCACTGGTTTGGGAACAAGTTCTTGAAGTGCTTGTTACACTCCCTGAGAACTCCCTTAAGTTGGAATCCCAGCCCTTCCACTTAGTAGTTGGATGGCCCTGGGTGAGTTACCTAACTTTCATCAGCCTCACCCTCTTCATTAGGGCAGTTAATTCCCACCTTATGAAATCGTGGGAAAGATCAGATTACACTAATGCCAAGAAAACATCTGATACAGCCTGACTGTCCTAGACATTCCACCAGTAAGAGTTTCCCGCATTCCTTAATGAATTCGCCACCACTTCCTATATCCAGGCTGAAGACCCTTTAAATTATACCTTTCATCCTAATTTCTTACTCTTCCTCCAGGTCTGTATTTCCTGTTTCCCACTTGGAGACATAGCAAACCCCCAATCATCTTACATCTGAGCCATGATTCCCAGTTCTTTGTACTCTCAATGCCACCTTTGATGCCATCTTTTAGTCTTTTAGCTTACTTCCTTAAAATCATCTCCATTTCCCTCTCCCTCTGCCTTGCTCAGACATCATGCACGCAGCATGACTGTCTTTCCTGAGCCACTGGAGAAAAGAACTTTCCATTTGTAGCGCCATATTTTTAAAAGAATGTTGGCAAATCAGTGCAGATTGATCAGGGTGATGGGGCCTGGAAACTGGCATATGCCAGAATGAGTTTGGTGGGGGGTGGGGTTTGGGGGTTTTGTTTATTTGTTTGTTTTTGTCTTAAAAGCAGAAGTCCAAAGTTTGTCAGTGGGAAGAGAAGGTCCTTTGCTCTGTGTCCTTCAAAGTGCAGATGTGATCCATAGAAAGTTAATTTCTGTTCAACATAAGGAAATGTTGAGGATGAGAGTCCCAGCCAATGAAGCGAGTGTGATCACATGAGGGTCTCTATCTTCCTCACCTACTTTGCTCATCCCATTGAAATGTATGAGGCTCTCAGCAAAGACCGATTCACCATCTGCTATAAGAATTAAAGAGGCCGGGCGCGGTGGCTCAAGCCTGTAATCCCAGCACTTTGGGAGGCCGAGACGGGCGGATCACGAGGTCGGGAGATCGAGACCATCCTGGCTAACACGGTGAAACCCCGTCTCTACTAAAAAAATACAAAAAACTAGCCGGGCGCGGTGGCGGGCGCCTGTAGTCCCAGCTACTCGGGAGGCTGAGGCAGGAGAATGGCGTGAACCCGGGAGGCGGAGCTTGCAGTGAGCTGAGATCCGGCCACTGCACTCCAGCGTGAGCGGCAGAGCGAGACTCCGTCTCAAAAAAAAAAAAAAAAAAAAAAAAGAATTAAAGAAACAACTCACCAAGCTTCAAGCAAGTGCATAGTAGCACCTTTATTAAATGACCCTAGACCCTCTAGAATCATATGCAATCCATTTTGAATCTGTTTGAAACTAGTCTCGCCAGCACGAGTGATGTGTAGCCTAAAGCCTACCAATGGCAAAGAGGAGTTTACAGTTCCTCTCTGAGCCAGCCAGAGACTGAACTCATAATATTGCCCTAAATAATAGTCTACTTCTTTGCTGTAGCTATAGTGCTTTCAGTGTTCAGCTCGGATAGCCCCAGTTTCAGACCAGTCTTTTTGTTTGTTTGGTTTGGTTTGTTTTTTTTAAATAGAGATATGGGTCTCACTATGTGGCCCAGGCTGGTCTTGAACCTGGTCTCAAGGGATCCTCCCACCTTGACCTTTCAGAGTGCTAGGATTATATGTGTGAGCCACTGTCCCTGGCCCAGTTTCAGACTGTTAATGGTCGTTATATTAGTCAGCTTGGGCTGCCATGACAAAATACTACAGACTGGGTGGCCTAAACAACAGAAATTTATTTCTTGCAGTTCTGGAGGTTGGAAGTCTGAGATCAAGGTGCCAGCTGATTTAGTTCCTGATGAGGGCTGTCTTCCTCGCAAACAGCTGCTTTTTTCCTGTGTCCTTACATGGCAGAGAGAAAGTGCACATGTGTGAGTGAGCTCACCTCTCAAAGGCCCCATCTCCAAATACCATCACATTGAAGGTTAGAGCTTCAAACATGAATTTGTGGGGAGGGGAAAAATATTCAGTCTGTATCCATGGTCTTTCTTTTCTTTCTTACCAAAGTCATATTAGGCCAGGTGCAGTGGGTCATGCCTGTGATCCCAGCATGTGGGAGCCTCAGATGGGCAGATCACTTGAGGACAGGAGTTCGAGACCAGCCTGGACAACATGGTGAAACCCCGTCTCTACTAAAATACAAAAATTAGCCTGGCATGGTAGTGCATGTCTGTAGTCTCAGCTACTTGGCAGGCTGACGCACAAGAATCACATGAACCTGGAGGCAGAGGTGGCAGTGAGATGAGATCGTGCCACTGCACTCCAGCCTGGGTGGAAATGTGAGACTCTGTTTCAAAAACAAGCAAAGTCATATTAGTAAGACAGAGTTTTGTCTTTTTTGTTTTGTTTTGTTTTTGACAGGGTTTTGTTCTGTCGCTCTTGCCAGAGTGCAGTGAAACAACCAGGGCTCACTGCAGCCTTGAACTCCTGGGCTCAAGGGATCCTCCTTCTTCAGCCTCCTGAGCAGCTGGGATTACAGGCACATGCCACAGTGCCCAGGTAATTTTTTAATTTTTTTGTACAGATAGGGTCTTGCTATATTTCCTAGGCTGGTCTTGAACTCCTGGCTTCAAATCATCCTCCCACCTTAGCCTCTCAAAGTGCTAGGATGACAGGCATCAGCCACCTCGCTGATGTACATGGGCCACAGGAAGTTGGTGTGCTTCACACAGGCCAGAGTGACCGGCAGCATCTTCATTCTGGCTATTGCATGCCAGGGGCTGATGATGGTGCCTGCCTCCTGGATCATATTCAGAAGGGTTCCCTTATGGACATTGCCAGCAACGTTGGCATCATGTGGCCACATGATTCAGCAGATCTGGAGGGTGGACAGTATCTCAGGTGGAGGAGAATGCAGGTGTCACCAAGCCTTATCTTTTCTTTTTCTTTAATTTTTTTGGGGGGGTTCACCTTTATTCTATGCCTATGCCTATGCTTACCCAAGACCTTATCTTTTATTCCTTTGGGTTTTTTTGTTTTGTTTTGTTTTGTTTTGTTTTGAGACGGAGTCTCGCTCTGTAGCCCAGGCTGGAGTGCAGTGGCCGGATCTCAGCTCACTGCAAGCTCCGCCTCCCGGGTTCACGCCATTCTCCGGCCTCAGCCTCCCGAGTAGCTGGGACTACAGGCGCTGCCACCTCGCCCGGCTATTTTTTGTATTTCTTAGTAGAGACGGGGTTTCACCGTGTTAGCCAGGATGGTCTCGATCTCCTGACCTCGTGATCCGCCCATCTCGGCCTCCCAAAGTGCTGGGATTACAGGCTTGAGCCACCGCGCCCGGCTGTTTTTTGTTTTTTTTGAGATGGAGTCTCGCTGTGTCACCCAGGCTGGAGTGCAGTGGTGCGGTCTCGGCTCACTGCTACCTCTACCTCCCAGGCTTAAGCAATTCTTGTGCCTCAGCCTCCTGAGTAGCTGGGACTACAGGTACTCACCACCATGTCTGGCTAATTTTTGTATTTTCAGTAGAGACGAGGTTTCACCATGTTGGTCACACTGCTCTCAAACTCCTGGCCTCAGGTAATCCGCCTGCCTCAGCCTACCAAAGTGCTGGGATTACAGGCACGAGCCACTGTGCCGGGCCTCAAGGTCTTATCTTTTAAATAGCCCTTCTGCTCTTAAGAAGGTAAGAACCGAGTCAAAGGGACTTAACTGACTGAGTTGCCAACGGTACATGAAGGGTAAAGAGATCCTGCAATTCACGACCTGGGACCTCAGGCAAATGCAGATTGCTTAACCTCTATTGCCTCATCTATAAACTGGGGCCAGTAATGTTCATGGGGATGTTCGAGGGATTAAATGACTGAATAAATTTAAAGCAATTAGAGTAGCCTAGCATGAAGAAAGCCCTCAAAAATGTTACAATCATTACTTTCTTTAAATGAGAAGTTGGCCTTAGATAGCTTCCAATGTCCACCCTCTACAGTGTTTTTGATCATCTTGTGGGTTTTTTTCCTTTTCCCCTCACTTTGTGAGCCTGCCCTTTCCTATCCATTTCCATAGCTAGTCCCCTGGTCTAGGGTTACATTCTTATGCTTGTTGGGATGAAACAAAGGAGAGCTTCCCATTTTCCCCCAAAGGGGATCTCTCAAACACCCCTATGTTTGCAGCCCTTTCTCTTAACGTCTCCTTTCAGCTCCTCCAACTCCCAGACTGTGTGGTTCTGCACAACAGTGAAGAAATATTGAGGAATCGAAACAAGCTGAGGCAGGTAAGTCCCAGCCCCTCCTCCACTCAGATGCCGGAGGCCTGACACCAGTTAGGCTGGTGCACCTGCAGCATTCTGCCCTGGGTTTGCCTTCGATCCCACCCCTGCAGTCTAGCCACCAGGAAACAAAAAACCTCCTCTCTGGGTTTTCTAAGCCCTACCTTTTGGTCAGGGCAGATCAGAACCCAGGAAACCCCGAACTCCAGATAGGCATCTGAAGGGAGAGGTGTCTCCACTCTGCCTCCAGGTCAGGTCCTCGGAACTACGCTTTGCCCTCACCTCACCTGACTGGTGCAGCACATCCAGCCTCGTGCTCCTTGTTTTCTGGACAGTTTCCTTTTGTTGTGTTTGATTTCCTTCTCCCAAGTAGTCATCCAGTTTCCACAGTGAATCCTGACTGGCACGCTAGAGTGTACATTAATCTCTGAGCCTCCCCGGGTGAGTGCTAGCAGGCCTGAACACATACTTGAAAGGTTGTGCCTCCCTTGCCTCCTGTTCCAGCTTCCTACCATCCAAACTACACAAATCAGCAAGTACCTCTTCCATATTTGTTTTTTTTAGTTAGCAGAGTCTCGCTCTGTTGCCCAGGCTACAGTGCAATGGTACAGTCATAGCTCACTATGGCCTCCAACTCCTGGGCTCAAGTGATCCTCCCACCTCAGCCTCCCAACGAGTTGGGACTACAGGTGCCTGCCACTACACCCAGCTAATTATTAAACTTTTTGTAGAGATGGGATCTCACTATGTTGCCCAGGCTGGTCTTGAACTCCTGGGCTTATGCAATGCTCTTGACTCACCCTCCCAAAGCGCTGGGATTATAGATGTGAGCCACACCGTGCCCAGCTCACACTTTGAAGGGCAAGCAAGGTGTGGAATCCTAATTAGGGAAAAGGTGTCAGGCTGGTGGAATCAGGAGAAAGCAAAAAGAGAAAGCAGATAAGCTACAAGTCTGCCTTTCTTCACAGTCCAGGACACATAGCCCTCCTATGCAGATAACTCACACTCCTCCTGTGCCCAGCTATCACCAGACCCTTGGCTGATAGAAAATTGCAAGTTAGCTCACTGCAGCCTTGGCATTATCAGTATTGCACAAAGCCCTCTTCATCATATAGCATAAACACTATGCTATAAAATATCCAGCAAGCCTTTGTTTCTTTGCAGTCAGCTCGTCCCTTCTTGGCTGCCCATTGCTTTCTTGCAATGTATTTTCATACTTTCTCTAATAAATCTGCCATTCTTTTACCTACAACTGTCTTGGCAAATTATTTCACCCCCGTGCCACCAGCCCAGATAGTTGTCACTCACGCATGACACGAGGTACTAAATATTTCATCTTACAGGTAGTTGTGACCTTGGAGTTCTATGATTCATACAAACTGCACTTTGAGCAGCATCCTGTGAGAGTTTGTTAAAAATATAAATTCTCTGACCAACCCCAGATCTATTAAATCCATTTCGGGGCTTGGAGCCCAGCAATCTGTTTTCATAAGCATATTAGAATTTGAAAAGTGCTGTTTGTAGACAACATTGATGAGCATCGCTGTTATTCTTCTTCCTTCCCCAACCCTCAATAGCATGTCAGTTCTCTGAAGACAGGCCCTGTATTCTTTTATGTTCACCCTTACATCCCTACTACGTAGAATGTGTTTGGTACAGAGTCAGTGCTTAATAAATAATTTGTTCAAATAAGAATTTAGAAATTAACCACATCCCTCTTCCTAAGGTTTGTGTCTTCACTGATTGGCCAGACTCTTAAGTAGGGGGCTGGTGGGTGTGGAAAGGAAGACCTCATCCAGACTAAATTTTTGGTTCAACTTTGCAAATGCAGAGTGTGTGATCACAAAAGTCTTGGAGAGTTGGTTGGCTCATGGGCTTCTGAAATGTTGACCATTTTATACCCCAAACCCAAAGCACATCAGTCAAAATGAGCTGTTCAGATAGTGTGAGCAGCAAGCAGAAGAGATGCTAGAGCGCTGAAGCCTGTGGGTGGCCTCAAACTCACACAGCCCTTCTGCATCATACAACCTCTTAACAGGGTTCCTCAAAATAAGTTCATCTCATGCTTGTCCCCAGACTACCTCTAGAGGAGACAACGAGACAGGGCAGGCAGAAACAAACAACTTATGTTTAGGGGCCCCGCTAGAATGATTTAGTCCATTGATGTATCCCAGAGTCAACATCATTTTCTGCCACAAAGTAGGTGTTCAATAAATGTTTCTCTTTTTTTTAAGAGACAGGGTCTTGCTCTGTCGCCCAGGCTGCCCTCGAACTGGACTCAAGGGATCCTCTCGCCTCAGCCTCCTGAGTAGCTGGGACTACAGGCATGTGCCACCACGCATAACTTTTTATTTTTTATAAAGGAGGGGGGGGTCTCACTATGTTTCCTAAGCTGGTCTCGAACTCCTGACCTCAGCAATCCTTCTGCCAAGGTCTCCCAAAGTGCTGGGGTTACAGGTGTAAGCCATTGTGCCTGGCCTATATTTCTTAAATGTTTGAAGAAAAATAAGCAAGATACCTTTGCTTTATAATGCTTGTGCTAAAAAGCCAATATCCTCTAGAATTGATATACTCCCTTAGTCTTGTCTTTCGAGGACATCCTGGATTTTTTTTTTTTTTTTTTTGAGACAGGGTCTCACTCTGTTGCCCAGGCTGGAGTGCAATGGCATGACCTTGGCTCACTGCAGCCTCCACCTCCCCAGTTCAAACGATTCTCGTGCCTCAGTCTCCTGAGTAGGTGGGATTACAGGCACCCACCACCATGCCTGGCTAATTTTTGTATTATTGTAGAGACAGGGTTTCACCATGTTGCCCAGACTAGTCTCGAACTCCTGGACTTAAGCAGTCTGCCCACCTTGGCCTCCCAAAATGCTCTCAAAATCGGCATGAGCCACCATGCCCAGCCTCATTCTAGAGTCTTGAAAAGACTCTACGTGAGTCCAGAATGCTGTGACCGAAACACGCATCTGAGCCAAGTGCCCAAGGTCTTAGCCTTCAGGGAAGTTCCTTAATTCTCTCTTAGCAAGGCAGCTGGGTTGTGGGGCCTGCAGCGTAGCTCACACTCAATAAGCCAGCTCAGCATAGGCATAGGGAGGTCACCATGCCGATTCCAGGAATGCTTGCATGTCACTGAGAGCCATTGCCTTTATTTCTCACTGGAATCCCACGATCTCCTATCCCACTGAGAAGCTCAAAAGACAATTACCCAGTACATAAAAACTGGCTTGGGGATTTACTGAACAGTCCTTGGAAAGGGGTCAGTGTTGACGTAGGATTGGCAAAGCAGCACTCTCTCCCGGGTTACCGAAACACACATCATCAAATAAGGGTGCAATCACAGTTATTGCACAACTTAGCAAAGCAAGAGCAAATCAACTATACTGAAGGAGAGGTCAAAGCCTCCAGGCTTCACATGAGGCACCGGCTGTGTGCCTGTGCCCCAGATGCAATTCAGAGGGGTGACAAACACAAGGATATTGCCATTGGCTATGGCCTCACAGGCATCAGAAAAAGATGGCTTTCCTAGAATCAGAAAAAGCCGCCTTTACCTGTGTCTTCTGTCAGTCACCCTTTTCCCCACACACAGTGTAGCCTGTCCCTGGGTTAGGGATTTGGACCCTAGCTCTCAGCTTGCCAGGGCCACAGACACACTGTGCTAAAGTGCCTAGCTTCTGCCTCAGGTTCTGTATGAGGTCCCTTCATCACAGCGTGCGTTCAGAGTTCTTCTACCCACCCTCTTGCTTCCTGGCGGCTCACTGCTAAATGACCCAAGAGAGACACTTAGACATTTTCTTTTTCTTTTTTTTTTTTGAGATGGAGTCTCACCCTGTCACCCGGGCTGAAGTGCAGTGGCACCATCTCAGCTCACTGCAACCTCCACCTCCTGGGTTAAAGCAATTCTCCTGCCTCAGCCTCCCGGGTAGCTGGGATTACAGGCATGGGCCACCACACTCAGCTAATTTTCATATTTTTAGTAGAGGTGGGGTTTCACCATGTTGGCCAGCCTGGTCTCGAACTCCTGACCTCAGGTGATCCACCTGTCTTGACCTCCCAAAGTGCAGGGATTATAGGTGTGAGCCACCACGCCCAGCAAACATTTTCATTACCAGAGACCCCCAGGGTAATTTTTATTTTATTACAAAAGACATTTTATATCGCACACAAGCTTATGGATTAACTTTACTTATTTATATTCCTTTTCCCCACACATGAGCAAAATTTCTGCCTGGAAATACTAAATGTTATGATTTGCCACAACTCTTTAGTAAGCAGTGACTTCTGCATGCTGCTCAGAGAGTCTCAGCCTTTCCCTGTGCACTCCCTAATGCGTCAGATCACAAGGACACTCCGTCCCTACTTGTCTCAAGTTCCAGACAGATGGAAGATACAACATCTCCCAACACTTTGCTCTCTTGCTTTGCTTCATTAAGCCCTAAGATGAGCAGCTTGTGAAACGACTTCACATGGATCAGTCCCAGGGCCTCCCCCAAGGCTGATACGATTTACTAAAACTAGGCCGGGCACGGTGGCTCACACCTGTAATCCCAGCCCTTCAGGAGGCTGAGGTAGGCGGATCATGAGGTCAGGAGATAGAGACCATCCTGGCTAACACAGTGAAACCCCGTCTCTACTGAAAATACAAAAAAATTAGCCAGGCGTGATGGGGGGTGCCTGGCAGAGTCTTGCTCTGTCACCCAGGCTGAAGTGCAGTGGCACAATCTCAGCTCACTGCAGCCGCAACCTTCCAGGTTCAAGTGATTGTTCTGCCTCAGCCTCCTGAGTAGCTGGGACTACAGGTGAGCACCACCATACCTGGCTACTTTTTGTACTTTTAGTAGAGATGGGGGTTTCACCATATTGGCCAGGCTGGTCTGGAACTCAGGTCCTCAAGTGATCCGCCTGCCTCTGCCTCCCAAAGTGCTGGGATTACACATGTGAGCCACCAAGCCCAGGTGAAAGCTCTTTTTTTCCTGGCAAAATGTTCATGGTTTATTTATTTATTTATTTATTTATTTATTTATTTATTTATTTTACTCTTTTAAAAATTGCAGGCTGGGCAACATAGTGAGACCTTGTCTCTATGAAAAAATTTAAAAATTGCATGGTGCATGGTGGTTCATGCCTATAATCCCAACAGTTTGGGAGGCCAAGGTGAGCTGATCACTTGAGGTCAGGAGTTCAAGACCAGCCTGGGCAACATGGTGAAACCCCATTTCTACCAAAAACACGAAAAATAGCCAGGTGTGGTGGCATGTGCCTGTAATCCAAGCTACTTGGGAGGCTGAGGCAGAAGGATCACTTGTACTCAGAAGACCAAAGCTGCAGTGAGCTGAGATTGTACCATTGTATTCCAGCCTCAGCAACAGAGACCTTGTCTCAAAAAAAAATGAAAAAGAAAAAAAAAAGATGTAAAATATATGTAATATAAAAGTCACCATTTCAATAATAGTCTTTCTTTTCTTTTCTTTTTTTTTTTTTTGAGACAGGATTTCACTCTGTTACCCAGGCTGAAGTGCAATGGTATGATCATAGCTCACTGCAACTGCAAATTCAAGCAATCCTGCCCCCTCAGCCTCCCAAGTAGCTAGGACTACAGGTGTACACCATCACTGCACCCAGACACTTTTTAAAAACCTTTTTGTAGAGATGAGGTCTTGCTATGTCACCCAGGCTTGTCTCACACTCCTGGCCTCAAGCCATCCTCCTGCCTCAGCCTCCCAAAGTGTTGAGATTACAGGCACGAGCCACCATGCCCAGCCAACCATCTGGAAGTATACAATTCAGTGGCATTAATAACCTTTACCGTGTTGTGCAACAATCACCACTATCTATTTCCAAACATTTTCATCACCCTAGACAGAAACTGTGTACGCATTAAGCAATAATTCTCCATTCTGTCTTCTCTGCATGCCTTGGTAACCTCTATTCTACTTTTTGTTTCTGTAAATTTGTATATTCCAGATATTTCATGTCAGGCCTCTGAGCCCAAGCTAAGCCATCATATCCCCTGTGACCTGCACGTATACATCCAGATGGCCTGAAGCAACTGAAGATCCACAAAAGAAGTGAAAATAGCCTTAACTGATGACATTCCATCATTGGGATTTGTTTCTGCCCCACCCTAACTGATCAATGTACTTTGTAATCTTCCCCACCCTTAAGAAGGTTCTTTGTAATTCTCCCCACTCTTGAGAATGTACTTTGTGAGATCCACCCCCTGCCTGCAAAACATTGCTCCTAACTCCACCGCCTATCCCAAAACCTATAAGAACCAGTGATAATCCCACCACCCTTTGCTGACTCCTTTTTCGGACTCAGCCCGCCTGCACCCAGGTGAAATAAACAGCCTTGTTGCTCACACAAAGACTGTTTGGTGATCTGTCTTCACACGGACGCGTGTGACATTTCACAAGTGGAATTATACAACATTTGTTGTTTTGTGTCCGACTTCTTTCATTTAGTGTAATTTTTTCAAGATTCATCTGATGTAGCACATGGCAGAACTGCATTCTATTACATAATATGACTACATAATATTCCATTGTATGCATATATCACATTTTATTTGCATTCATCTGTTGATGGACACATGAGTCGTATCCACCTTTTGGCTATTGTGAATAATGCTGCTGTGAACACTGGTGTATAAATATCTGTTTGAGTCTCTGATTCCAGTTCTTTTAGGTATACACCTAGGAGTGGAATTGCTGGGTCATATGATAACTCTATGTTTAACTTTTTTTTGTCCATTTTATTTATTTATTTTTGTAATTATTATTATTTGTAATTATTTTATTTTAGATTCAGGTGGTCAGTGCGTAGGTTTGTTACATGTGTATACTGTGTGACACTGAGGCTTGGGCCTAATAATCCCATTGCCCAAGTAGTGAACATAGTACCCAGTAGGTAGTTTTGCAACCCTTCCCCCCAACCTTTGGAATCTCCAGTGTGTGTTGGTCCCATATTTGTGTACATGTGTACCAAATATTTGGTTTCCACTTCTAAGTGAGAACATGCGGTATTTGGTTTTCTGTTTCTGCTTTAATTCACTTATGATAATGGCCTCCAGCTGCATCCATGTTGCTGCAAAGAAATAATTTCATTCTTTTTTATGGCTGCGTAGTATTCTATGCTGTATATATAACCACATTTTCTTTATCCAGTTCACTGTTGACGGATACCTGGGTTGATTCCATGTCTTTTTTTTCTTTTCTTTTCTTTTTTTTCTTTTTGAGATGGAGTCTTGCTCTGTCGCAAGACTGGAGTGCAGTGGTGCCATCTTGGCTCAGTGCAACCTCCAACTCCCTGGTTCAAGTAATTCTCCTGCCTTAGCCTCACGAGTAGCTGGGATTACAGCCACGCACCACCATACCTGGCTAATTTTTGTATTTTTTGTATAGAAGGGGTTTCACTATGTCGGCCAGGCTTGTCTCAAACTCCTGACCTCAGGTAATCCACCTGACTCAGCCTTCCAAAGTGCTGGGATTACAGGCGTGAACCATCACACCCGGCATTTTTTTGTTTTGTTTTGTTGTTTTTGAAATAGGGTCTCACTTTGTCACCCAGGCTGGAGTGCAGTGGCGAGATCTCAACTCACTGCAGCCTTGACCTCCCGGGTTCAAGTGATCCTCCTGTACCCAAGTAGGTGGGAATACAGGTGTGCACCACTATGCGTGGTTATTTTTTGTATTTTTATTTTGTAGAAATGGGGTTTTGCCTTGTTGTCCAAGCTGGTCTCAAACTCCTAAGCTCAAGCGATCCGCCTGCCTCGGCTTCCCAAAGTGTTAGGATTACAGATGTGAGCCTCTGTGCCTGGCCTGACTCCATGTCTTTGCTATTATGAATAGTGCTACAATAAACATGCGAATGCAGGCGTTTTTTGCTAGAATGATTTAGTTTCTTTTGAGTATATACACATAATGGGATTGCTGGGTCAAATAGTAAATCTTTTCTTAGTTATATGAGAAGTCTCCACACTGTTTTTCATAAGGGCTGAACTAATTTGCATTCCCACCAACAGTGTAAAAATGTTCTTTTTTCCTCCAAAAGCTCGCCATCATGTTGTTTTTTGACTTTTTAATAATAGCCATTCTGACTGGTATGAGATGGTATCTCATTGTAGCTTTGATTTGCATCTCACTGATGATTAGTGATCTGAGCATTTTTTATAAGTTTCTTGGCCACTTGTTTTTTGTTGTTTTGTTTGTTTGTTTTGAGGCAGAGTCTCTCTCTGTCGTCCAGGCTCTGTCGCCCAGGCTGGAGTGCCGTGGCGTGATCTTGGCTTACTGCAACCTCCGCCTCCTGGTTTCAAGCGATTCTCCCACCTCAGCCTCCCTAGTAGCTGGGATTACAGACTTGCACCACCACAGCTGGCTAATTTTTGTATATTTTGTAGAGATGGGGTTTCGCTGTGTTGCCTAAGCTGGTCTCAAACTCCTAAGCTCAAGCGATCCACCTGCTTTGACCTCCCGAAGTGTTAGGATTACAGATGTGAGCCACTGTGCCCAGCCTGACTCCATGTCCTTGCTATTATGAATAGTGCTTCAATAAACATACGAGTGTGATGTTTTTTGGTAGAATGATTTATTTTCCTTTGAGTATATACACATTAATGGGATTGCTGAGTCAAATGGTAAATTTTTTTTAGTTATTTGAGAAATCTCCAGACTGCTTTCCATAAAGGCTGAACTAATTTGCATTCCCACCAAATAATAGCCATTCTGACTGGAATGAAATGGTACCTCATTGTAGCTTTGATTTGCATCTCACTGATGATTAGTGATCTGAACATTTATTATGTTTGTTGAACTTTTTTTTTTTTTTTTGAGACAGAGTCTCGCTCTGTGTCCCAGGCTGGAGTGCAGTGGCACAATCTCGGCTCACTGCAACCTCCACCTCCCAGGTTCAAATGATCCTCCCACCTCAGCCTCCCAAGTTGCTGGGATCACAGGAGTGTGCCACACGCCTAGTTATTTTTTTGTATTTTAGTAGAGACAAGGTTTCGTTATGTTGGCCAGGCTGGAACACTTTACTGGCCACTCGTATGTGTTCTTTTGAGAGGTGTCTGTTCATGTTTTTTACGTCCTTTTTAATGGGGTTGTTTTTTTCTTGTTGATTTAAGTTCCTTATAGATTCTGGATATTAGTGTTTTGCTGAATGCATAGTTTGCAAATGGTTTCTTCCATTCTGTAGGTTATCTGTTTACTCTATTGATTGTTTCTTTTGCTATGCAGAAGCTCTTTAGTTTAATTAGGTTCCAACTGTCAATTTTTGTTTTTGTTGCATTTGCTTTTGAGAACTTAGTCATAAATTCTTTGTCTAGGCCAATGTCTAGAAGAGTATTTCCTAGGTTTTCCTTTAGGATTTTTATACTTTTAAGTCTTAGAGTTAAGGTTTTAATCCATCTTGAGATAATTTTTGTACATAGTGAGAGGTTGGGGTCCAGTTTCATTCTGCATATGGCTAGCCAGTTTTCCCAGCACCATTTATTGAATAAGGTATCCTTTCCAATTCTTTATCTGTGTTGACTTTGTAGATCGGTTGGTTATAGGTGCACAACTTTATTCCAGGGGTCTCTATTCTGTTCCATTGGTTTTGTTTAGGATTGTGTTGGCTATTCAGGCTCTTTATGGTTCCATATGAATTTTAGAATATTTTTTTCTGATTCTATGAAAAATGACATTGGTAATTTGATAGGAATAGCATTGAATCAGTAGATTGCTTTGGGCAGGATAGACGTTCTATATGTTTAACTTTTTGAGAAACCACCAAACTGTTTTCCACAGTGACTGCACTATTCTACATTCCCACCAACAATGTACGAGGGTTCCAATGTCTTCACATCCTCACCAACATAGGTTTTTCTTTTTTATGCTTTGTTTTTTGTTTCTGAGATGGAGTCTCGCCCTGTTGCTCAAGCTGGAGTGCACTGGTGTGATCTCGGCTCACTGCAACCTCCGTCTCCCAGCTTCAAGTGGTTCTCTTGCCTCAGCCTCCTGAGTAGCTGGGAACATAGGTGTGCACCACCATGCCCAGCTAATTTTTGTATTTTAGTAGAGACGGGGTTTTGCCATGTTGCCCAGACTGATCTTGAACTCCTCAGCTCAAGTGATCCACCCACCTCAGCCTCTAAAAGTGCTGGGATTACAAGGGTGTGCCATGGTGCCCAGCGTCAGTCTGTAGTTTTAAGAATTTATTCGATCATTAAAAAGTCAGGAAACAACAGGTGCTGGAGAGGATGTGGAGAAATAGGAACACTTTTACACTGTTGGTGGGATTGTAAACTAGTTCAACCATTATGGAAAACAGTATGACAATTCCTCAAGGATCTAGAACTAGATGTACCATATGACCCAGCCATCCCATTACTGGGTATATACCCAAAGGATTATAAATTATGCTGCTATAAAGACACATGCACACGTATGTTTATTGCAGCACTATTCACAATAGCAAAGACTTGGAATCAACCCAAATGTCCATCAGTGACAGATTGGATTAAGAAAATGTGGCACATATACACCATGGAATACTATGCAGCCATAAAAAAGGATGAGTTTGTGTCCTTTGTAGGGACATGGATGCAGCTGGAAACCATCATTCTTAGCAAACTATCACAAGAACAGAAAACCAAACACCGCATGTTCTCACTCATAGGTGGGAACTGAACAATGAGATCACTTGGACTCAGGAAGGGGAAAATCACACACCGGGGCCTATCATGGGGAGGGGGGAGGGGGGAGGGATTGCATTGGGAGTTATACCTGATGTAAATGACGAGTTGATGGGTGCAGCACACCAACATGGCACAAGTATACATATGTAACAAACCTGCACGTTATGCACATGTACCCTACAACTTAAAGTATAATAATAATAAATTTAAAAAAAAAGAATTTATTTACGGCCGGACGTGGTGGCTCATGCCTGTAATCCCAGCACTTTGGGAGACCGAGGCAGGCGGATCATGAGGTCAAGAGATCAAGACCATCCTGGCTAACC